GCGGTCCCTCTTCCCCGCACGGCCTTTCTTCGGGCAGTCACGACTCATGTGTCCGGTCTCGCCGCAGTTGTAGCATGACATGTCACCTGCTGAACCTACCTTCGCAGAGTTCGGGCAATCCCGACTCATGTGTCCGGTCTCACCACACCTGTAGCATGACATGTTTCCAGCAGAACCTGCCTTCGCGGGGTTAGGGCAATCACGGCTATAGTGACCCTTCTCGCCACACTTGAAACAAGTGTTATCATTGCCTGTGGCGTTTTGATCGGCTGCGTTGGGGCACTCACGCGCGAAGTGGCCGGGGTTTCCACATTTGTGGCAAACCTGCTCATCCGTGTGAGATTGGTTCTCTGTCTGGTCTTTGGAGTAGGACATAGTGAGGTAGTGTTAATAAAAATATTAATACTAAAAGTATGTAGATTGAGCTAAATGGCTAGACTTCTTGAAAGGACCGCTTGAGTAGATAGTAAGAAAAAAAGCTTTGAGACGAAAAAGAAGAGAAGCGTGTGTTGAGTTTTTTTACGAAGAAAAAAATTTTTTAAAAAACACCTATGATGAGAAAGCATTAGTACGTGATATTGCTACGGCACTTTTACTGTTGTGTATTTGTCTGCATCATATATCCCATCTTTCAGCCTTTATTTTTTCGCCTCTCCCTACTCTTTTAAGTGATCTACCATATCCATATTGCCGTATAATACTTGTTTAAAGGGTCAACGGCTCTGATTGCATCGCTGTAATAAATATTTTTCTCAAAAACAAGACTTTTCAAAAAAAAAAAAGATTATGAGTCTCCCCAGCGTCGATTTTAGCCCTATATGTAAAGAAGAAAAAAACTCCATTTCTGTTTAATACTTTGGCGGGCACAGCTAGAGAACACTCAGAAAAGGTAGAGGGTGCTGACAACAAATAGCCATTTTATGCTGTAGCACGATATGCTCATCTTTCTTCTTAAGCCACCCCTTCATTTTCCCCTCATACTCACCGTGGCAACATCATAATTTTATTTGCCTCCTTTTGGAAGTTTCTGTCTGTGTAATTACTTTGCAGCGTGATAGCGATCGTAAAGCTTTGTCTGATCATCTCGGGATATCTGTGTCCAGCCCTTATCGTGTACGTGATAGACAGTTACAATACCACCAGACGCACCATCACGGTAGGTAGCATAGAAGATCGACTGCCGGGCCAAGTCGAAGGCTTCCTCCAAAGTCAAATCGTTGCGATAGCCCGCATCCAATACACCATACGCATAGACAGAACCAGAGCCGACGCTAAAAATATTGTGCTTCACACGGGTGCCCTTATCATCAACATAGTACAAAGCAGGTCCGAATTGGTCCCATCCAGCCACCATGGTGCCCATCGACAACCCGTGGTTGCGATACGAGTACGTGATATTGGCGAGAATCTTACTTGCAGCGGCAACGGTGATCCGACTGCCATTGCGAAGCTCCCATAGACGACACTCCATCCCCAACACTCTCTCCCAGTACTGGCAATCGACTGCACCACCAGCCATGGTACCAAGCAGATATTCGTTAATCTCTAACACCTTCATGACCGTTTGTGAAGCAATATATTGCCCTTGTGTAGCACGGGAATCCACTGCGATGACGACGCCACCGTTGAACATAAAACCCAACGTAGTCGTGCCTTTTTTATGGTCCAAATTCGGAATCGAACGGGGTACAGGGCAGTTCAAAGCAAGCTTCCAGGAACGAAAATCGTCATTAAGACGACTACTGGTGTCAAGAGGATCAGCGGTCAGCCTCTCACCCGTACTGGAAAAGACCTCCGCAGAGTCCACATGTTTGGGTACTGCCCTGTAGTTGTATGAAGTAATCGCCAACTCATCTTCACGAGCCCAAGTGTCATCATTGGAATCAAGATTATGGAATGCAAATGGCCCGATCCGAGGGCAGTCATCCAATGAGAACCTAGACCGCGTTACGGCCTCAAAGGTGGAATGCATCATAACCAGTGAAACAAGACAACTAAAAAAGAGACTTGTTAGTTTGTTGGTTGTCTAGAATCCGTGAGGTAAAAAATAAATAGGAGGCACGCGCCACTGTAATATATAGGTCAAATACTATTGCCTTACTATATGGGACTATAAGAATCAAAAGCGCAAGTATAAATAATTAAATGGATTAACTCTGGTCATATGTATATGCTAAAAGGTAATATCTTAGATATAAGTTATTAAATTTAATCAGCGGTGTATCTGGAGACTAAAGTATCCCCTCCTTACCTGCTCGTCTAACCCAAAAAGGGAATGATGGGTTTCAAAATAGTATCCTGGCAGTCATTCCAACATTTTCCCGTTTAGCTTTTGTCTTATTGGACAACTCACAAGAAATAAAAGGTTCCATAACCTCTTTCGCTGTACTTAGCTTATAGGGCCGTCACGTGGTCTCAGCCTACCTCGCTGCAGTGATGTCCTGCAGTATACCACCCTCTGTGTCCCAACCAGGATCTGCGGAAGGAAAATCGCCACAGTCCGCGCTTTCAATAAAGTCCCTTGCAAAAGCTTGATCCCTCTCCAATTTTGGGCGTTGCTGCATCACCTCCATACGTTTCTCCGAAGCAACGGCAAGCTCCTGAGACTCAAAAGACAACGCATGATGCACCTCTTCATAGGTATACTGCTCAAGCTCCTCAGCCTCCTTGGGGGTCAGCTCACGATATCGGGCAAGGTGGCGTAACCGAGCGACGCGTTGCCGGCGAAAGTAAGGCCAGTCACGCTCCACGAAAGGCTTCCAGACGGCACCTAAGTGGCGTGCGTAAAATAAAGGAACTGTCACCTCCCGTATAGAGCCGACCGGAAGGGTACTAAGGGCAAAAGGGCCAAAGGAAATACAGCCACCACGCTCAATCTTGCGACCCAGGTGCTGCATCAGCTGCGAAACATGCATAGTTTCACCTCGAACCTTGACCTTCACGGAGTGCCTTGATTTTGCTGCTGGGTTAACCAAAAACTCTACGTTTTTGTATTGCTTTCCATTGATATTGATGCCCTCCGTATTGAGCTTATGAGCTAAGATCGGATCAATAGCTGGACGCACCCGAAGCAAATACGTCCGCTGAATGTTCGACTTGGGGTTTTCCAAAAAGCGCGAAAGCTCGCCATCATTAGTCAACATAAGAATGCCATGTGCACGCAGTGGTAGAGAGCCCACAGGAATCAAATGGTCCATGCCTAAGATACGAGCGTGTTTGCTAATGAGGACTCGCCCAGCAACGTCACTACGTGAGACTAAAACGTTCGCAGGCTTATGATACATCCAAAGTCGTGACGGCGAGTAGCGAATACGGGATCCATGCCCCAATACATGCACGTCATCCTCTGGGCGAACCAAGCGAAAGGGGTTGCGCTCGACTACATTGTTAACCCGAACCTGTCCGCTGGCAATTATAGCAGAAGCCTCTCGACGACTACAATAGCTAGCACGCGGAAGAACACGAAGTAAGTAAACAGCATGTGGGTTGGCTAGAGATGAGTCTGATAGTTGATGACTGGTAAAACCTTCATCATCTAAAGACTTGGAATCTAACTTGTAGCTGCTTGAATTGGCTCCTGGAAGATATCCATCCGTGTGTCGCAAAAAGAATGCCGCCTGTTGCTGCTGCTCAGTGTCCGAGTCATCACGGAGAGAACTGGAAACCGTTAGTGCCGTCCCACTAATCGGTATTCTTGTATCCTTTGCCTTTTCCGCTTCTTCTAAATCCGAAAGGGTCATAACTTGTTTTTCTGAGAATGTCAGCGATGATGAAACAGAAAAGTGATTTCCTTTTGAAGTCTTAAGGGGCAGCCGAAGCTCCTCCTGTCCCTCACCTCGTTGCTGCCTTAGTCGAAGCTCGGCGTCCGACTCCAGGCGTAGCCGTCGTGGCAGGAAGGTTTCTTCACGGTCCTCATGAAGTTTTTCAGCTTTTAGCTCAATGAGTCGCTCGCGCAGCATGTCTGTGATTTGCACGGGAGTGTCGCCAAAGTCGTTTTCAGTCTCGTCACCCTCCACAGTCTGGTCAGCAGGGGCAAGATTACTTCGCTCCGATAGTCCCAAGCCGTCCTGACGGGGTTGGCCACCGGAAAGTTGCAAGACATCAGGTGAAAGCACCTCCTCGATGCTTGGGGGTAACGACAAAGGCATAGACGTCGCTGTAGGGTGTGCACCGTCGGTTCGCATCGTAGCATCACGCATGCCGCCCCGAATATCCAGACTTTCCTGATCAAAAAAGGAAGACTCCTCTGCCTCTCTACGTGGGAAAGGGTAACCATCCGCATTATACACATGTGTCACACCGCGCCATTTTCGATCCTCCTTCCTCTGCTCGACGTAGGGAGATGCAGACATGGATTTGAGGTGCGCCATTGCTGTAGGAAACCCCTTTTCGACATCCATCTGCCTCTCAATCATATCAGGATCCAAGAACGACGGAACAGAATCACCACGGGTCGCATTAGCAAATATTTTTTCGCCACCGCTGTGCTCTAAGCGCGGCTTGCTGCACTGCAAGCTGGGTATAGCCCTTTCATGCGTTGCCCCGCTAGCGTTTGATCCGATGAGGTTGCGCTGTGAAGCTCGCCGCCTTCGGTGATGTGAACCCAAACTTGATCTTTTTTTTTTAATATGAAGGCGTGTCTGGCTTTGCATGGATGTTGCAATATTCTCTTTAGATGAATAAGTGGCACCGTTATCTGAATTTCCTCCCCCAACTGAAGAGGAAATAAATTGACCGGGGGGAAATTCTGCAGCCATCCCTCGTAGCATTCCCCCTGTCCATCGACGCAGACTGAAATACAGGGTAGGTCTCATTTTTTCAGCCCTTTATGAGGCACTGTCACTCTCCCTCACACTACGGGACCACTTCGCCAAGTAATAACCAAGGCCCTCAAGTCTGTGCTGCCCCGTTTTTCCTGGGTCGCCCTGAAACTTAGCCTTTAAAAGATATGTCTATTTGCGAATTAGAAGAGCACAAAGAAAATGAGTACATCCATATGTTGATGAAAAGGTGAAATATTAAGCGAATTACTATTCAAAGAACTACTTTTCGCTTTTCATATTGCGTGCATTAATTGTCTAGATCTTTTTCTGCTTATAATGCATGCGATTCAGCAATTTTAAAAAAGCAATTGTCGTACAGAGATTGAACCATTATAACACTAGGCCTCCAATTAAAGAAGAATTCAAAGCATTTGGCCTGTTCGATATATATGCGCGTACTCTCATACACTTCTTCCGTTTAGTACATTATAGTGCGACACAAGTGATGCCTTGATTCAGAACCAGCCGATGGATATCGTCCTACGTACCATAAGGCGTAATCCAAGGCTTGGATGCCCACCGAGTTCGTACCTACTTGAGCTAAGCCAGAGCTTGTACATGCATTGTCATTTTCTTTCGTCTTCAAGGTATCGAAAAATCTTTCGTTTAGGTAATCTATGAGAAGTTCGGTCGCAAGAAGTGCCCCAAGACGAATCGCACCCTCATCCCTTCCTCCTGCCTGCAAGAGAACCCCACGATCCACAAGATCCGATAAACGGTCAGCATAAACCAGCAGGCCAGCATCGCGTAACGCCCTTGGTATTTGGTAGTCGCAACAAACGGAAAGCTGTGCCAGATCCTTAAAGAGAGGAGGGCTTTCGTCACTTTGCAGGCTATGGTACGCACTCGCAATGCGTCGAATCCAGGCGGGCTGTGAAAAGCCTTCGGAAACCAAAGGGAGTCCAGACTGACCGCGGAAGCGCCACAAGGCTGGAAGCGCCTGTGACAAGGCCAGCACCGTCAGTTGGGACAGCTTCAGGACAGGGATCCTAATATCCCCCGAGGCTGTTGAATGGCAAGCGACATCATGGTAACGGGGGTGCAGCTCAAGCAGATGCGAAATGAACCCAGCAGGAGGTGAAGAAGAACACGGTAGGGAGTCCACCTCTGTAGACAATGGAACACGCGGTTTGAAAATGAATCCGCTACATGCACATAAAATGTCGTAAAAAGAAGTTTGCTTTTCACGCAAGGCTTGACTCAGGGAAAGCAGCAACTCCACACGCTCGTCAGTTGCTGGCATCCACAGAGGTGTCACGGCATCCTCACGACAACCCAAAAAACACAGCCGCAGCGCCTCCTTAGCATCTTGAACGGAGCTGAATTGAGCGAGGTATTCTGGGCTATACCAGGGAATATTGTATAACTCCACTGCGCGACGTAATAGATAGATCATCGCAACAGATCCGCGAAGAAGTGTACTGCGTTTGGACTCCATCATGGGGTATACCTTCTCAGCAAGCTGGGCATGTTGACTCTCAGCATTCGAGGAGAATAAATCGTTGTGACTAACGGTGGTGTAAAACCCAGTAAACCCTTTCACTTCTGTGCCAACAGCAGCCTCAGCGGTGTCGCTGTTTACATCAGTCCTAACGTTAGGCCCGGTTGGAATTTCTTCTACCCAGTGTCTAAAGTCGATAGCAACAACCATGCCTAAGTAATTGACGACGTCCCTCTCGTGGTTTCGGATGGAATTCGGCACACATAAAAGCCAATGATCCGAAATTACTGCGGGTGATGGTAGGCATGGTGCAGTGCCACTCGCTAAGTCACTCCTATTACTTTGTGGAGAATCGCGAGGAGGCTCGCGATAGTGCTCTCTCACTTTTTCTACGATGCGCTCTAGTGTTTTATAACGGTCGTCAGTGGCACCCACTTGATCGATATTGTATGGAGAAACTACTTGAACATCTAAAATTCGTTTGGACGCGGATCGAATGTCATCCTGTATGAACTGCTTCCGAATAATACTGCGTACAGATTCTTCTCCAATAATATCCATCTTTCATCTAATACTGGCATCTTTAAAGGTTGCATAAAAACAAAATAATGAGAAACCCAAAGTCAAATCGAAGCCCCTATCATTCATTCCACCAACGCAAACGCACACTCAAAACGTCAAACCAAAAAGCAGGTGCACCAGAAACTCGCAGAAGATGTGTGAAAGTTTGATTTGAGTACCTTGTGTCGGAAAGCGCTTCCACACAAAAATAAAAAACGCTTAGAATCATGTCGAAGTAATCCATTTACTGGAGTGCATTGTTTACATATGCATAAAAAAAAAGTTGATCAAACTCTTCAGATAAAAGTATACAAGGAAAACGCGAAGAACGGGAAAGGATACAATCGATACCGGCCCTTATCAAACAATTTGTTCGCCCCGTAACATCGCGGATCGTCCTCCTCCCGCTTGCACAGCAAGTAATCTTACCAAGCTGTAGTGCTGAGCCAGGGCATTCTGAAATAGGCTGTTACGATGACTGTGTTCTTGAATCAAAAGTTGCTCTACAACATGCAAAAATTTCAGCCAATTTTGGGATTCTTTTCCTTCGGACTCAACGTCCCAAGAACCTGTTTCGTTTAATGATTTAAGCGAAGAATTTTCTTTCCTTGTATCGATTCGAGAATTTTGGAATGAATGTGTTTTATTACTTGAAAGGGGGAGGTTGTCATAACCGCACGTTTTCTTTTTGAAGCTTTCAATGCAATCCTCGATGAAAAATTCCGAGTCCCCCGATGTCGCAGCTGCATCGTCAGTTCGAAACAGCAGATGGTGGGGAAGTCCGCATCGGCGGCGCTGGACAGGCTCATCTCTCCCATCGTGACTCCACCCCCCTCCTCGACCTCTTTCCTCACAGGGCCCTTTATCCTCATGCGGTGCAGAGCAAAGCGAAGCTTTTTCGGACTCCGTTTTGCGCCTAGTTCCATAATATGTGATCAAGTTCCCTTGTTTCTCCTGTAGTGTTTGCAGGAAGTCAGCCCATGAGCCGCCCAAAATGATGCTACTCGTGGGAAACGGGGTCTGAGTTCGAAGAAGCGGATGGTACTCGTATAGCGATGTGGCAGGCCTCAAGTAAAACTCCGCCATCCTACTCGAGTAGCCGCTTATTACAAGAGAATCATCGAGGGGAATCGCTGGAGTGGTCTTAGAATGATCACGATCTATCTTGCGTGCAACCTCATACTCGTGAAATAGAGGACTCCTCTCAACGGTGGATGTATGAAGAATAAACCCATCGCTTAAAATACATCGGTTGCAGTTATGTTCAACTGGCGGCTTGTTCGGCTCCCTCCCACGATATGCACTTCCATAAAAGTCAGAGGAGAGACCCGACTCGAAGAAGCGACGCTGAGCGAGAAAATAAGGTACCACACAAGTCGTCGACATGATAGCACTTGTCTTCATGCTCGGAGAATGGGAGATCTTCTTGAGATTCGCAGCACATGAACACGAACCTAAACTGCTGTCACCGCAGTTGCATTTAACCATTTCGTCCTGTGCATTTTGAAACACGGTGGTATCGCGTAGCAGGTCTTGATATTCCTCAAGCCTTCTCCTGCCCACTTCCTTTAGAAGCTTCCATTCTTCTTTACTGAAAAGAAGACGGCGGGAAAATTCTCGTATAATATCGTCTTCTGAGGGCGCCTCACCCTGCAGAGGCTCGTCATCAGTCCCACACAAATACCGAAGTAGGCCCTTCGTAGAAGAACTACTGAGGGAATTTGCCAAGACCAAAGCCTCATCCTGATTGAATGAAGCACCTCTTATGCTAGATACATCAGTCGCATCAAAAAGCGACGTATGGTGGGACAAGAAGGGGCGCCGCGCGGCGCCTTCGAGCAGCATGACCTGACTATTGTAAAAAAGTTGATGAGCATGCACCATAAAGCTGAAACGCAGTCGCACCAGATCACGTCTTTCAATATTCTCGCTTCTTTCGAGGAGTTGATGAAACTGAAGACGTCGTGTCAGCGTGCGATATGGCTTACTTCGCAGCCAAGCTTGCTCGATTCGTACGACTGCCATCTTATACCGCAAAGGTCTCTGGTGGACCGGATCCACAATGCCACACCTTGCTGAAAGCGCGTTTTGAAGCAACGCATCGTACATTTTTTTTATCAAAGGTAAGTCGCCCATGACATTCCCTCGAGAACTGGACGCTTTGCGCAGGGATCTCCCCTGAACGACATATTCTGACAGAAAACGCCTAACAATACGCCTTGAGAAACGCTGTCTTATGTTAGATAGTCTCGCCTCGTGATCGATCTTTATTTCAACGCGCCGCGCCAAACACCCAGGCTGGCTGATCGTGCGCAACAGCAGCCGACGCCGAATCCAAGATTTCAGCTTCCTCGACGCATCCTCTGGGCTTAACTGGGGTGTATGTTGGTGCCTACGCAGAGAATACCCTGTTCCTGTACCCGTGATTGAACCAAGAAGAGGATTTCGTGAATGCACACCTGTGTATGTATTCAAAGTGCGCACAGAAAGGTTCTTAGACCCTGCATCTACGCGCTTGAGGTGAGGCGGCTTTGGAACACGCATCGCAGTCGCTGCTTTTTTTGTATTTGATGCATGTGCTTGCGAAGATCCATATCCTCTCGAATTGCGACTATGACTACGGTGCGGAGTTTCAAAACGATCTCTTCTCCCGCGTTTTGCCGTGTCAGGCTTGATAGTCAAAGAACCATGAGGGACATCCTTGGAATTGGAGCTCCGAAGACGATGTGGGGGCTTCTTCTTCATCCGCAGCGATGAAACAGAATGCCTTGCCGAGGATGATCTCGAAGTGGCTTTTGAAAGAAAAGATGATAAATTCGTATTATCATTCTTCTTTAGAATTTTCCCACGTTTCAAAAAATAATGGCTATCTTTTCTAAAGGGTGATCGAGCCAAAGGCATGTAAATGTCTAGAAAGGGATGCTTTCCTTTTCTTCGTATTATGCTTCACTTACTCCTATAGATATACTTTTTGAAGCAAAAAAATTAGCGGAATAAAAATGAATGAGATGCTTAAAAGAAATGGAAAAGCAACTCACTTTAAAACTTCCAAGAAGCAAACCAGTTCCACAAGTCAAAGAAAAAAAGCATTCAACGCTTCTAATCTACCGTTTAAAAGCATACAGTGACAGCACAGAGGCAAAAAAAAAATACACTCAGGCATTCATAGAATGTCTCTAACATGCATTTTTAGTTTCCTTTCTACTTTTCGACACCAGTCTCAAATCGACGTTCCCCATGGCTACCCATCGTGTATATAGGAGCAGCAAACGGCTCGTAATCCGAATAACATCTCCGAAACACTGCCTCGACCGCCCGCTTGGAAAATCCTCTGCAGATAGGGTTTGCCTCCAACGCCATCGTTGCGCGCCGCTGCACGCACTTCAGGCCGCCTTCAAAGTAATTCAAACGTCCCCTCTTGAGCTCTTCTTCTGTAAAGCAATCGCCGCTTAACCGAGCCGCTCGCACCTCGCTACAGGCCTGATGAAAGCAATCCGCACTATCAATGTGACCACGAACGTCATCAAACGCATGGATTAGTTCATGCCGAAGGTTACGCTCAACAAAATTCAAAGCACTCTTGTGATTTCGCTTCAGTTCGCTCATGAGATCCACGCTACTACAAATATTTTCACCATCATTCACCTTGGCATCTAGGTTTACCCCCTCAGAGGAAATTGAAGTGTGATTTTGAGGCTTTTGATTCATCAGCGCTAGGTAGTCCTCAATGAGTACAATGTCACCCTTCTCACAATCTGGCCGGGTGCGCTGCCACATATAGCCCGCGGAAACAGAACTGAAATCAACAGTTTGCAGACTTGGTAACGAAAGCTCATTTTTAGTGTTCAAAAAAGAAACTGGATCAGCTTTTAAACACTTAATGCGCTCGCGCGGAAAAGCTTGCTGCGTAATTTCCTCTATACTTTTTATGATGTACCCTACGGTATTCACATTTCGGAGAACATAGTCAACCGCTGCCTCACACAAGACATGCACATCAGTGAGGTTATGGGAGCAATGATCATTTATCATAAAGACTGGGATTAGTAATGTGTTGTTTTGACTGCCTTCTAAGTAAGGTTTCTAAGGACATGGGAAAACATTTGTTTTTCGATTAATTGATTCCCGCAGGACATTCACATGATGTAAGCGCTTCAATATGTTAGAAGTACATTTATTGTAGAGATATTTTGTCATGCATCAAAAAATAAAAATGAAATAGTTATACTCTCGAAGTTGGTAAGTGAAATAAACATAATACCGATATATTTGGCATCGCCAATTTATATAGAAACCCACTTCGGATTTCTTCAGCTGATCGAGATTAGAAACATAATCAAGGAAAAGAAGAGATGATGAGGATGAATCTTAATAATGCTATCAAAGTGAAGAACAATCGCATGACTATCTATTTTGTAGAATACTGCTAATAGTGTTAGACGTATCTGTAAAGAAAAGAAAAGAGAAGCGAGAAATCGAATTTAGAAGCCTCCTCAACCACCTATCGCCTCTTTACTTAATCAAATAACTCCTTAAATAAGCTTTCATATACTACTTCTTCCTTCATACCATTCCCTCAGCTGAGATAATAAAATAGGAAAGTGACAATAAATCAAAGAAGACAGGAAACAAAAAAGATCATACCATTTGACTACTAATTGCATCTGCGCTAATGATTGTATATCACCATTACAACATTCCTCTTCCTTACATGTCTTGTTTTTTTGTTGCCGCCGTGAGAGTGTGCTTCCTCAGAAAAATATGAAAAATTAAAATACTACTGATAATAACCACCGCGTGAACGCTTCTGCTTAGTCCTATCGTAAATGCAACCTCGTTTTTAAGATTTTTTTCTGAAATTATCACTCGGTAAAATACCTCCCGACGATGCTTTAATGAATATAAAAAGGATAAAAAGAATAGGCTTTACCTACTCGCTCTTTTTTTTATGGGTATATGTACGAGAGCCATTATTATTGGATCAACAAATTCTTCTTTCATCATTGATCAGTCTCTCGCCTTGAGTTTCTCATCCTGGCCCCAGAAACTAGTCCTGGTACGAACAAACATTTAAGCGCCAAAGAATAGTGGAGCATTGTTGCCTTCAAATACGTAATTCGACACACCAGTACTACTACTCGTTGCACCAACTCCCCCATTGGCATCACCGCCCCCTCTGCCCCACTGTGCAAAGTCGTTCTCAGGCGATGATTGTTGCTGCGACGTCTGTATAACAATGCTCACCACGCGACGCAAGTGCTCCAAACCCTCCTCACCCCTGTCTTCAAGCCTATCTAAACTATTGTCAGGGTAAGAGTTTCGATCCGTTGCCTTATTGCCGGCTAGGGTTTGGCTGACAAACGAGCCCACAAAATTCAGGGGCGTCTCAATCGACCCACGAATAGCCCACTCAAGGGAATCGAAGTTAGTGTTGGCGTCAGCCTCTGGGTGTAGACGGTGGGTGGTATTCCCGTTGTCGTCGAGATCGGAGCTGGGCGCAGCGACCATCGATGATGAGAACAGGGTATTGAGGAAATTACGAACGTTGGCTCTTTTCTCGGCCGCAATGCGCGTGATCCCGGGCTCCTCAATCGATTGGCTAAATCCTAAGACCCCTGGCGACGTAGGCGCCGCGGAAGGCTTTTCATTGACGATGTCATTAGGTGCTTCAGATGCGCTCGAGTTATGGTACATGTGAAATTCTGGAGTGGCATCGGGAAAGAGGGAATCCGCATCATTCTCTTTATGAGTCAAGAACATTAGATCAGCTGACGGATCCTCGTCTATTGAGGAAAGGCCCGCCATGACCTGCTGCTCAGTTCTAACAGACGCGGGCAGCCTTGTCGGCGAAGGTGGCAGCAGTGGCTGAGGCGGCCCCTTAAGAAACGTTTGGGGGGTGGAAGAGGCGCCCATGAGGGGGGTTGCCGCGGCGGCCGCCGTCTCCGCATCCCGAGTCGGGCTCGTGGAGATCGGGCATGGCGGTGCCGGGGTGCATGTGGGTGTGGTATCCCCGTGTGTTAGATTTAGTTTGGGAAAAAGCTTGAACCTTTCCGAGGCCGAGGTTTCCTCCGTGCGCAACGCGTTTCTTCCAAAAAGTGATGGAGTCGCTGTCGAATAACCACGACGACCGAGCAAAGACGACATCGCCTGGGGTAGATCCGCCCAGAGTGGTTTGGGCGCACTACAGTTGCAATCAATCGACAATGGTGCCACCGGGCGGCTACGAATTGCCTTAGTGACTTTAGGAATGGAAACAGATCCAAGGGCACCCCACGTGCCGTCACTCATCGCCAGTGACGATGAAGTTTCACCAATGGGAAAAGGAAAGACTGCAGAAACCTTTTTGTTGGGCTCAATAGAAATGGCCACATCGATGGGTAGCACCGGCTTCACTGACAGCGAGCTTATATCGTCACCAGCTTCTCCTAGTGCTGCCGGTGGTTGCGGGGCTTTCTTCACATGCGTTTGAGTCGATGATGTTGGTGAATTCGAAGTGCGATAGAATCTGTTTAAAAAACCCATGTAAGAGGTGGATGGCGGATCAGAGGAAGCTGCTGGAAGGGAAGTATTTTCGACTACGGCAGATGAGGTGTCCACGGGCAGTACCTTATGTGCCTGGGCAACCTGATTGTGGCTAAGCAAGGGCATCCAATCTGGGTTTGATGCAGCGAGGCGAAGCCTCGAAAACCGTGGGTTAACATCGGTATCATCATCCACCGGGCGTGGGTAAATTGGACTAAATGATTTCCCACAGATAGACATCACGAAAATGATAGTTCCCCCTCTCCAATAAGTTAGACTTAATATATATATAGAGAGAGAGAGAGATAAAAACAATTATTGATAGGAATCAAACGTTGATGTACGCAATACTTGCCCCAGGGAAGTGAAAGTGAAACAAACCTATTCACTAAAAAAAAAAATTTTCCCTCTTATACTCCAAAATAGATACTCTTAATATAACTCTGTTCTATGTAAATGAGAAAAAAATCCAAAGAGGATATAAAATAAATCCTATGTTAAGTGTCTGAAAAAAATCAAAGACTACCTTCCTAGCTCAGGGTAATAGTAGAAATAAAATATATTTAGCATCGATACTGGATAATTTTTTAAAGAACATGCTCACACAAATTTAATTGACAGTCGGTAAATTAAGATAATCCATCGAAAATATTGCTCTTTACTGGAATATGCTACCATTTTTTTAAGTGGACATAATAATATCACGAACGATTCCTCTGCCCTGCCTGCTCCCACACATACAATCAAAGAACTACAACGAATGAAATGAATAGTATTTCTTCTATTTGGCATAGCGCATAATATGATTTAATATTCTTCCCATAGCAGGATAATACGCCTTTTGGTGCCGGCTCCTATCAAGAAAGGGTTTGCTTCCACTTCCCTCAGCGAGCAGTCTCTCTAAAATTCTTTCAACTCGTATGTTCATTACGAATTAACACATACAAGAAGGAATACAATCCTTTTGATATCAAGACTTTCTTTGATTGCTACAAAGGAAAAGCCAAAAGAAAGGGTTCAAATTAGGACAAAAGGCCAGCATTTGCCCACTCCGCTGCCGCTGCACTGTTAGTTGGTTTTGCCTCGTCCCACGGTCCGTTGATTTGATCTTTGACACTGCTATGCAACGAAACGAACCACCAGGGGATCACAAAAGATATCATTAATATGCACGTAACGTAGAGTATCACTAAAACGGGAATTGTCAGTAAACAACCAGTATCGATCCCAAATAAAAGAAATGTAAGGGCAACATGGGCGGTAAAAGAGGTCCGCCTCACAAAATGTCGTACTATAGGACTCAAAGAAAAGCAAAACGTTCCAAATGCAATCAGTGCCCCGCTATCGAGAGGATTGGGGATACGCGAAGCCATCATAATCACACCAAACGAAGCGGCATTAACTGAAAGATTGGGTGAAAAGTCAGTTGTATATGCATTCAAATAGCTGTAATCTGCCGTCAACACATGCAAAGACATCGTAAAGATGCTGAGAGCCACAATAGTGTCATTGGAATAACTCACAGTTAAGGTGCTTAAGATAGAAGTTAATAGCACCACCAGCGTCCCAACACCAATTGTCTTACGAAAGAAACTAAACGCGCTGTCTGCGTAGGGGAGCCTGGGCTTTGCAAGTTTCGTTTCACCATGAAAAGAGGGGTTGCCGTTGTGGCCGATGCTCGCGGAAAGCCCACGCTTCAGGTTCATACTCCGGTGCTTCATCCCATTGGAGACATTATCAGGTCTAGGACTAGCTCGGTTCAGGTCACTGTTATGGCGCCCACCCATTCGCGCGTCCTTTTTCTCGCGGCTAGAACTCGCCACTTGAGGTATCTGCGACAGATGAATGAGCCCATAATCCTGTGTGTTCGTGTGATTGGCTTTCACGGCTTGAAGCTGCAGGTATACGGCAAAAGCCACAAGGAATACGGCCAGGTCTACATAAAGAATCGTGTAATGGTTCACCGTTTGATTCAATAGCATCGAAAAAGCGCATGCGAATAAGATAACAATTGAGATTTGCTGTGTGATCGCAAAGGTATTTTTGACAACCTCAGTATATTCATAAGTTTTGAGGTGTTCATTTTGGCGAAGCTCCTCAAGAAACTGAAGAGGGTCGACATAATTATCCTCAAAAGGTTGTCTCTCGTATAAAATCTTTTGCCATCTAGGCATGGTTGAGCCATCCTCTGTTTGAACAATAAAGTCGCTCTTCACACCGTTCACCCTCTGGATGACCCCATTAAGCACTGGAGTCTTGTGCTGCATCATAACATCGCCTTTGTTGAACACTTTATAACCACAGTAGCTACCCACGTGGTCCATGATGACATTACCATATTCACTCTCATCCTTGGAATGAGGAAGTACTGAATCCAAAGTATTATGTTCATGGCTTTCATGCTTAGCAGTTTCTTTAAGCTCTAGTGAGTGTAAGACATTGACGATTGGGATGCTATACGAATTTCCTTGATACTTGAAACTCCAGTTTTGCAATTTAGATGTCTCCTCATTACTTTCCTCCTCCTTTTCATGGGTCGGGTGAGGAAAACTGGGTAAGGATATGCTCTTCGCTACGTCTTCCTGAGGGCTGTATTCATCAAAACTCTTCTTCATAACATATTTACTTGTGTGTTCGCTATCTACAGAAGTATTAGCTGATATTTGTGTGTGGCTCCGCGTCTGGCAGTCTTCTTTCTCAGCCTCAGCCACGCCGTTAGAGTTGATGATCCTGCGCTGAAGACCGTTCAGCAAAGTCGGGCATTTGGTCTTTTCTTCTAAACTGGTGTACTCAATTGTTTTTGAAAAGTTTTTTACATCATTCAAGCTATTGTTTCTACCATTGTCGTCTACAGACCCCTTCGTGAAAGTAGAAGTGGAATACGAATCTTCGGAGCGACATCGGTCCCCAAAGGTCTTTTGTTGGAATGTCAACAAATGCGACGAAGTACCTTTGGTCACTGCCTCAGATTTGCCGTCACGGTCCATTTTATCTTGTGTTGGACAAGAAGTATTAACTGTGTCGGAGTTATGCTTGTTTGGGGGAAAAAATGTGAATCGTTTAAGACAAACTTATCCCAAACTCCATAAAAAATAATACTGAAACACAACTTTTAGAATCAAGAAGCATTTTGCGTATCATTTTTTTATCACCCTCAACTCTTCACAAGTAAAAGCAATTGCGATTAGATGTGCATATCTAACGTTATCCAGAACCGCTGTGCGATGACTTTTAACTGACAGTTTCCTAAATTTCTGGTGTAACCTCTTTTGAATACACACTTCCGGCCTTAGGTTGATAAATTTATATAGATATATTTGTAAATGTGAATGAGTTGGGATTAGAAGTGGAAAAATAGGATCCCCAAGATGTCAACTGTATAGAATAGACACTCAAACAGGAGATTAAGATGAAATCAAAGCTACCACACAAAGCAAAAGCCGCCATCAATACTACGATTATCAGTTGCGCTTTCAAAGTTTTGTTGAAAAAAGGGGAAAAATGAAAAAATATTGACTAAGATAAAACCTGAATACATAGGTAGATATGGAAAGTAACCTTAAAGTTTGGATCTAGCAAAAATAAAAAGTGAAGCACTCACGTTTGTACTATATTCCTCCTCCTCATACTCGCACGCGGCGTACGGGAAGAGCATGAAAATGACAGATATTAGTCCAACACGGAGGATTTTGGAGCGCAGGTACGAACCAAAACTATGTTTCCTTTCGTGTCCCCCAACATCACCGCCTGCGGGTTCTTTGGATGACATGCTATAGTCGATACAATGGTGTTCGTAGGCAGCGAGACCGTTCGTAATGTTTTCATAAAGAATGAGTGCACGTAGAGAATGACTGTGGTGGCAGCTAACACACCTTCGCCTAAAGAATCTCGATCATGGGCATTAGTAGTCGCCACTCGGTTGAAGGGGACGCAATGCATCAAAAGATATTGCTCTGAGGTCGTGGTCCAACACATCAGGCGGCCAGGTGGTGAAAAAGATCGCAGCATCGTCCCGTTAAGACATATTTGATGAACAATATGGTCTGCTCTGGAATAGAAAAGTATATTGGGGACGTAACATTTGGACTGGACGAGAATGCAGTGAATCGGGTACTGTCGTGGATGCCGCAGGGTTCGCTCCAGAGTAGCCGTGCTCAGCGAGTTCAGCATCAGCACCCCATCCATGGATGCCGTCGCGACAACGTCCAACGTGGAGCTCAAATGGACCGCTGTCGGCAAATCCTCGTGTTTGTAGATCGTAAAGAGGGGTTGCACCTCAATCCGGCGCTGTCCTCTGGGTAAATGACACACCCACACCACAAATGTCGTGTCCTCAGATCCGGTGACAAGGTAGTGGCTGTCGCCACTCGCCGCGAGCCGGGTCACACGCCCGCGGTGCGCGCGAAGGTAGACATCGCCAACTGCCTGGCCCACATGACGAATGATAACGGAGTGGTCAAACAGGCCGCCCAGAGCAATGAAGGATTCACTACCAAAGCAAAGCAGCGCGGCGTTCTCTGGGGTACAGGACCCGTCACCGCCTCCCAGGTCGTCAGGAATAACACTAAGTGGAGCGGCCATTGTCCGACACTCGGAATCGTCGCTAATGTCAAAACTAAGCCTGTCCTCCCCATCGCTTCGCTGGGGTGACAATAAGAATGAGGTATGGGTGGATACCTCTATCCTGTCGTCAATCTCACTGCGCGACAGAGAATCAGGTGTCCGAGACAGGAGTGGGTCAACTCTTACGCTACCAACTCCTGGCGCCGTCTGCATCAAGTCCTTTGTAGCCACAGACGAAGCAACCGATGATAGTGTGAGGTAGCTTCCAGACGGCATCCGTCGATGCACTTTTGGTAAAGCCGGGCGTTTGAGAGGCGAAACTGCTAGCTTAAGCGTGATAGTCGCCCCATTTCCGTTCACTACAATGGCCTTCCCAGGTATGTTGAATGAAATCAGTACTACGCGCTTTGGGGTCTCCCAGCGCAGCGACACGACCCTGAGGTTAACCTGGCAAATCAAAGGATCAAGACTCTCCTGTGGTCGCCGTATGGGATGACTTTGTCGGAACAGCTGTATCGGCGTCTGGCCGACATTGTCTAGTATATCCAGCAGCTGATGTTCATCAACTTCACTGCCCTGTGTGGAGCCCAGATCCTCATACGAATGCCATCTGAACACGTTGAGGGCCTTAATTGCCTCCTTACCCCGCTGCTGCACACCAAAGATTAAGTCGATCCAATGGTGAAGCATCGATGAGACGTAGTCGCACTCAAGGGCTTCACGCATGTGATAAACAAAATTGTGGGGTGAGCCGTGTGCCCAAGGTGGGAGCACAAGGTCGCCCACTGACTCATTATTCTGTTTTTTTCCAAAAAAAACGTTATTGTGGTTTATGCAGAGCTCTGGTAAGTAAAAAAGTTCAGGAATAAGCTCACGAGTGTCTTGCATGTTGCTGATGACACCACGAAATGCAGCCGACATGGTGTGAAACATCCGGTCGGGGTGATCAAAACGGCCTCCTTGAAGCAGGATATATAGCGCCGTGAAGGGCTCCAGCCGCATGAGGTAGTAGAGCACCACAGCAGCGGAGCTGTAGTGAGTGAAGTAATGTGATGGCACATCGCCCATTTCCTTCGTTTCCTCGTAGAGCCGTTTAATACCCTCACGACGTTTGTCGTCTCCACATGCACCGATGGGCTTTGAAAGATCCCGAAAGGTATCAGGATTACTCAAATCAAGGGTATCACTCGTGTAATCGGCAAGGATCCATGGGAATACGGGGTATTGCGTTATGTCGTTTACTGACCGACCCGCGAGCAAATTGAGCCACATTAAGTAGTCGAAATTTGACATTTCGCGACTTCGCCAACGGTTTTGTGACCACACCAAAAGCGGCTCCTTAATGGGATTCTCTTGAAAAATGTAGAAACCACGAATTGACGCCACTCGACGCGGGTCGCGAAGACGATGGCCCATAACTACCTCTCTGATGATTTCCCTCAGTGCAAGCCGCATCGTAGCAGCATCGGGGAAATTCAGAAGACAGCTTCGACGATTTTGCAGCCAAATTTCCACTGCGGTGCGCTTCATGCGGAAGCGACGTCCTGGAGCAATTTGCGCAATCATCGCAACGTTAAAGCCAAAACTCTGGGGTCGTATAAGAAAATGCTGCGCCTCAGGGGGAATTTTTTGATTGTATGACTTGTTTTCTTTGTCAACAATGACACTTATCGCCATACCACGGATAACGAACATCGCACTCCAGCAATGCATCATGTACGGCATTTCGCAAGGAATAGACAAAACTATAGGAGGCAGACTCGAGTCCGTCGCATTGCTAAACTCATCATCAGGTACCCCATTTCCGAGGATAGGAGCTGCGGAACTCATTTGAGAATAATATGTGGGGCTATATATTTTATTCGGCCAAAAGTCATCCCGCTCTATTTCGATATTCATCTCCCCATCTGCCTCCAGTTTTACCTTGTCATCCTCCGTGACACCCTGTTCCCACAAAGATTCTCCACCCCCGCGTAGAGAAAGACGGGTGCGAGCGAGTGGCCCCCCTTCCCCATTGGGAGACAGTCCAGATGATGGCGACTTGCTGTTGTTCAAACTCAGCTCGATCACTGCCCAATGGCTCGTGCCGCCCCTGTCAAAGAGTGTCTTGCAACGCATTAACGGCTGCTGTTCTACCAACGATAACCTCACGTACTTGGTGGTGCCAAGCTGGCCCTCCGGTTCTGGACTCCATATGGTGTCTTTAATGTGCTCCATAAAACGTGCCACCACCACCGCAAGATTTGTAGAAGCCGCGGCCTGCAACACCTCCGAGGTGTTTGGGCTGCCTATTGACGCAAAGCCTGGATCAGAGACTTTGGCTGCACCAGCCCTGAAGAGGCGTTCGATTGACTCCGACATGGCCTCCCGAGTCATATTAAGCCCAGAGACCATTTCCCGAAGTCGAGAAATGGCTTGTTGGTGTTCCATGAGAATTCCTGCTGCAATAGTCTTTGCCTCGTATCGATTTCTCTCCATAGCTAGCGTGCATCGCTTCAAAAATACAGTGTAATCGACACGAGAGGTCACTTCAAGAAATTCATCAATTAAAGAAGCCGAAGCATCACTTGAAGAATCACACAGCCAGTTAAATGTTCTCTGAGCGTTACTGTGGCATCCGGTCTCCTCTGAAATACGCAAGGTTAAAGGCTTGTCAACTTGCAGAGCAAACACTGCCATTTTCTCAAAAGATTTCCTAAAAATACCAAAGAGACGCCTAAAACGTTTAATCAGTTCGGCGTTAGTGTCGACGTATTTCACGATGCCGTCAATACCGGCTACTTGCAGCCGCCGAAGGAGCAAATTATGAACAAAATACAGAATAGACATAGTGATAGTCAGTGGTGAGTGATTCCTGTGGTCATCCATAGCCTTAGACTTAATCAAGGAAAGCAACCCGCCTGGCGTTACCGCCGCAAGGCTTGTGTAGCGATCCAAAAGCTGAAGCAATGCCTCTATGCAACCCACCGAGTGCAAAATCATGCTGCTCGCCACGCGCAGTAGCCGTTCAAATATGCGCAGGAAACCGCCCCTGCGACACCTAGCATCATGGGTGTGCGCCAGCTCCAGAGCGGCTGTCACAAGATGAGTGCAGCCGCCGTGTAATATAGAGTCGTCGGTGGTGAGGAGGTACGCAACTTTCAAGGCCAGGCTCATGTGAAGCCATCGACCATCTGGAGATAAGAGGAGATCTCGTCTCCCCTCATATGATGCAAAATCGGTTTCCCCAACATACCTTGCGGCCTCCTCATCCAGATAGACAGGAGGATGCAAGGCCAGCGGATTGTCTGGTGAGAGCGTCGAATCTTGATGTTCAGCAGAAGACGTGGACTCTTGCTTCACAACAATAACTAGCTCATTCCATTCGACATACCGGGGCTTACCAGTAGTTTGAAGTGAAGAACTTGGGCGGGACGTAGATTGGGGCGACGACAAAGCATCATTGTCATAAAAAGACCTGCGACTCGCCGAGTAAAAAAGCACATCCTCTACTGTATACACAAAGGCAGTTAGGTTTTGCAACATTACATTTGTATTTGGTAGCGTAAACATACTGGAATTGGCCTCTGTGCCCGTGAGAAGCCTCATTCTCAGGCAGTCCGCCACACCACATAAAACATGGTTCAACAGAACGTGCAGACCCTGATCTTGTAGATAAGTGACTATCAGTTCCTGTTCGGAAGCGGCATATTTGACGTTCATCAACGCCTGAGACAAGGTGAAAGATAGAACAAAAGAACATATCAAAAGCAAGCAGTCACCTGGTATAGAACTACTGGATGTTGCAGACGTCGATAAAGATAACAAATATTGTGGGTCACATCTGTCCCCTTCCTGGATTGCATCCAGTGGCTTCGCGTCAACCGCCAAACGCTTCCTTTCATACTTATAGATATTTGTTATCAGGACATGCCAACCCTGTATAGAAATTAGCTTTTGCCACGCCTTTGGCTCATTTTTAAGGCAAAACACTAGATCCTTAAGCACACACAGCTTCAAAAATGAGTCTTGGGATGTCTGAATTAGCAAGAGTATGAGTTCTAACACAGCAGGAATTTCAATCTGGTTTGTGCCGGAGAGAGGGGTATAGACTAGAAGCAGTTCATCGGTAACCACAAAGTCTCCAAAAAGCGTACTACGGAGGGCTAGATACAATGAGATATCGACGAGTTCAGGACACAAATACTCTTTCAACCATGCTAATGAAATATCTTGAGGTGTATGAACAGCATCCTTCGTAATAATAAGTGTTGGGTTCATGTATTTCTGCGTGCGCTTAGAACGGATAACAAGTAAGATAATCTGCAAAAGCACCTCCCGTCGTGCAGCAACAGGAACAGTTGGGCACCTCAAGAATGGCAGCAAGACCGCAAGATAGTCTTCGCGTCCAAGAAACTGACACAGCAAACAATTACGTGTAAAGAGGAGGACGCGAATATGACGCAGAACATGGACAAGCTCATCTTCTGGGAGCCGTTGGTGGTTGCGATAAAGGATAGAGGTAAGGTGTAATATGGGAACCGCGTCGGCCATAGTGATGGGGTCCACTGTCAAAGCTTCAAAGAAACGAAACAGTTCCTCGCGCAGACTCTTCCCATGAGGCGAAGACATTGCTGTAGTAAATGATGGATTTTGCTTGCTGCCCACATCTTCCTCGTCGTGCGCATTGGGGTGTATAGGAGTATGCGGATAATGCAGTATGGCGAATTGAATCTCTGACACAATAAACATCTGAGCACCGAGTGACCGAATTCGGGAGCGAACTTCACAGTTCATAGAAGCAGAAATCCGCTGACAGTTGATCCATATCAACTGAGTCGTATACGGACAGGCGTGGAGTAGATTGCTGGAAAGAAAAAAGGCCGTGTAGGCAGCCTCAAAAAGCACGTCTGAGGGCAGGAGCTGCTCGACGCAAAATGAAAGGATTTTTTCGGGAATGGTCATATCTATCGCGGGCCCGAGCTTCTGCAGCACATTCGCTAAAAGAAAGAACAAACCTGATTCGGCCATGTCAACGCGCACAACATCATCATGTGCTAAGACGTAGAGGAGCTGAAGCATGTCACTAGCGGCACCGTTACGTTCGCTACGCTCTTTATCCTCATTGGGAAGGGTGGGTGCCTCCTCTTCATAGTGAATGTTATCATCAAGTCCAGAAAATGTGGAAAGGAGAGTTCGATCTGAGAAAGGAAGCTGTGAGTTAACCAAGAGCATCAGAAGCGGCATCACTACTGTGTATACTGCGCCTAGGACATATAGTGCGTCGATAATACTTGTTGAACAGCAAATCAGAGTGGCTTCGAAAACCATCAACTGACTTCCAGCTGGGCGGCCACGTAGTAGACTTGAAAGATTGTAAAGCTTCCCCTTTTCACCTAAACGAGGGTCGATGCAGATTATCGCTTCCGCCGCCAAATCATTCGTAATGCTTGTCCATGCCTCACTACTTAGGGCTGACGGAGCTCGTAGGACGCACGTGGGTGCGCCCCCCAGCCCAGAAGGTTGAATAGGTGGCAGGGAAGGGTGGTGCACAAAAGGGAACGGCTGCCTCTTTAATGACGAAGAATGGGTACAGGCTGCAGCATCAGCACCGTTACCAACAGTAAACGTCGCTGCAACCTCCCCACAGTATCCGCAAAACGTACGGCTACACAACTGGTAAATTTCCTTGTGTTGCAGGGGTCTCACAAAAAAGTGTACAATGGCCACTTGTCCGACAAGGTTTTGCTCACAGGATAGTTGGTCAACCGCCTCACCATCCGCTCCTACAAGAAACCACCCTCGAATCATATTTGGGTAAGGAACCGAGAGCCTTATTGGCTGCTCCTCCCCATTCTTAAAAATAGTTGCATTTTTGACTGCATTATTCTTGATCAATGAATTCCAAGGGCGATGGACAAACCCCAGATGGACCCAGGAAGCTAGAGGAATCGATAGTCCTACATCTATCTCCACAATGTGCTTCTGAGAATCAAGACAAGTTAAGCTGAGACGCCCTGTTGTGGGCGACACGTTGAGCTTCAATTGAGTCTTACGATCAGAATTTTGCAACGAGAATATAGTCTGAGACGTCTGCGCCACGTCTCGCTTCGAGTTCAGAATCTCATTTTCTGCACGCACCCACAGGCAAATCGAGTAACCATCGGTTGAATTGTCCTGAATCATGGCTTTAACCCCAGCACTACCGCTGTTGCGACAAAAAGCAATGTAGTTCTGTGGCTCAACTACTTGCTTGCTCAAAAATGCAGTGGCAACCACACTCAAAACATTGGTCACTAGTAGCACTAGCTTCTGCCGCTGCTGTGCATTCGAACTATTCACGATCATTAAGAGCAACCGCTTCACATGTTTGATATCAACATGCTCAATGGCAGAAATCTTCATGAGAGTTGTTACACTATTTAACGTAGACACAGCCAACAACCTTCCATGAAACACTGAACAAGTGCAATCCACAGAGTTCATGAGAGGCAGGACGAGTTGTGCAAGGGCTGCAAACAGGCCTGCTTGTGCACATATAAAGCGGCTGACACGACAGTGTAGAAAAGAGTTATGTAGTGTTTTCAGCAGTATATTGAGAGCTTCAATGTTCGCTACATCTGCTTCTGGATCATCTGATGGAATAGTCATGACTACTTGTTTCAGGCAGTCTAAAAGTGGGATAAGGACTACCCCATTTTGGATGCTACCGTGGCAACACTCCCGCTCAGGGCATGTAACATGAGCGTGGTCTAGACTAAGGGACAGGGAAGACGCACCAAGTGGAACTACCTCTTCTCGAGAAGCACCACGTATCATCTCAGTTTCTGTGTCTACTTCGTATATTTCTTCGTAAATGAAAGCAATGAATGCCTCAACAACACTCTTCCAATCGTTTGGTCTTACAGTAAACCACTCTGTGCAAAACCATTTCACGAGTTCGCCCGGAGTGATTACAGAAAACAAATGGCTGCGAAGTGCTGGGCAACCAGTGATAAGACTTGTAAGTGTCTGGAGCACAGACCTAGCACCTTCTGCGCGCGCTATCGAATTCGACCACGGGCGTGATACGCAGTTAATAAGCTTAAGAAAACACCCCTCCGACGTGCTTTGGCTGCACAAGATGTACTGCAGTGTGCGGACTGGTTTCAATGACGAGCATGAAAGCCCGCACCGCAACCGATAAAGAGCCTTTCGCAGGCACCGGAGAATCACAACAGTGATGTCCTCAGTGCAGATGTCAAAAGAAGGTGCCTCTCCTTCCCTATTTGATGTGAAACAATAGCTATGCTTATCCTTGATCTGAAAATCCCTTTCAAGAGCTTCAGATTGACCGATAATATCCCATATAATCGAAACCAGAGGCCGCAAGCACTGCATGCATTCAATATCGCTATCTTCTATTGCATTATCCAGACCCTTAGTCCTTGAGCAATGACATAAAAGTCTGACGATAATCTCCTCTCCCACCTTCAACAGACCCTTACACGATAGAAATGAGAAAACTTCGTTTAGATGTTTGGAGAGAATCGCGACCACTGCTGACTCACCCTGGGTTAGTTCTAACACAAGGTGTGTTACCCAACGGCACACAAGTGTACCTGAAGGATGAATGCGTTCTGTATTTGCTTCTACAGGATGACCTTCCCCATTATCCTCCCCAAGGGATATGCAGCTTATACCATTGTAAGGCTTTGTGGGTGTGTTAAGGGGGTTTCCTCGACAAAGCCCGACTGCGACAGACGCCATTAGCGAAAACCCCCCGTGAGACATCAACGTGCATTGCACTGCATCGCCTTTAGGCCCCCTTAAGGCATACACTAAGACTGCGCACACACTGCACAGGTACACAGCACGTTGGTTGGGAATGCTAGAATGCGCGGTATTTAGTCCCAACGACCACTTTTCTGAACCCTTTGAGTTAAACGGCGCATTCTGATTCGAAGCGAAGGCACTGAGTGCAGCCATGACCTCACGATCTAAGCCTAAATTGCGACTCGATACTGACATCGCTGAATCAGCGTCGCAAGACCCCTTCTTAGATTGGTTGTGAATGGGTGTGATATTGTCAGTTGGGAAAGTGAGAGCATGTAGCAGAATGTAGAGTGTCGCGTAACTGAGTCTTGGGGTATCACGGTACGCTTTGGAAAAATGCGCATCACTGAAAAGAACCTGGTACAATCCCGCATCTACTAATTGAAAAAAATCATATAACTGAGCAGCAACATCAAGGCTGTAAGTGGTGTTAAAATCGTGATTCATATCAGCATCTTGCCCCTCAGATGGGAGCACTTGAGAAGTCCAAGGGGAGTCACCGAGGTAGCTGTTTTTAGGTAACGAACCTAATATTTGCTGAATAAGAAGATCGTAGAGACAAGAGTTTTCGAACAGCTTGACCTTTGAAAACACTTCGAAAGCGCGATCTTCCTTAACAGCGAACTCATCATCTGCCACCATCATTGACGGTGTGGAAACCCTAACTGTACCCTGAGTGTTAGCATCACCAGTGTTCAAATTTTCTATAGCAACCATATCCACATCACCACTCTTCAGTTGATCCACGTCAAGTTCAGATAAATTCAATTGTGGTTTCGGATGGGAATCCATAAAGACTTTTAACACCGTTAAGCGTAGTTGATTGAGGGTGTTAAGGGAAATACTGTCATGAAGCGCCCATAGTGACCGACTTACCGCGCGCTGTGCGGTGAGAAGACCCAAATAGCTGTATAGAAATTCATCAACTGCATCTTCCGCTGCCACAGGATAATATTCCAAACCAGGCCGTGACAAAATGCACTTACAGTTCGCCAGTCCGAGTAAATTGGTGTTGTTTAAACAATCGAAGCTGTTAATAAACTCCTCCAATTGTACCACGCTCACATCGTTTTGTTCATCAAAGCAGACGTCGCGTTCATGATTCTTTTCATGTCTTAAACACGAAGCATTGGCGAAGTTCATTCCTATGAATCGCATGATGATGCATAAATTTGCTATAAAGCTCGAACTATTCAAGGCTTGCAATACTATCGCAGGAGACTGTCGTAACCAATGAGTGACAAGAAGCACTCCAGAGCTTAGTTGATTAAACATCATGGCTGTGAGATCGTCCGACACAAGGTGCATCGTTCCAGAATTTCTGGGGCGATTTATGCAACTTTTCGAGTATATATCAATAAACTGAGCCATCAAAACGCTCAGAGCCATCACAGATAAATTCACTATATGCTCCGCTTCATCAAAGTCGATTGCTGCAGGCCCCAATACACACGAAGATGGAAGCGTACAGAGGATAAGGAAGATTTTACTGATGATAACACTAGTATCCTTAGCGTCGGATGTTATGTTTGAAGAGAATGATAAAGAGGTCACGGACGCCTTTGAAATATGCGTCAACAAAACAACCAACTCCTGAACCATTGCATGGGAGTCCAGAGAGATTTCAGGCTTCATGTTGGAAAATGATGATGATGCGCCAACATTCACAGCTGTTTTTACGTGTTCATGTCTCAAGAAAAGGTTAGGACAACCTTGAGCGAGCTCCTGATTGCTTAGCTGGGTTGCGCGCCGCCCGACACTTGCAGCAGCTTCATTTGGAGGCACTTCATGGATCAAACCAGAGCTTCCAGAAGGCTTCCTAAGGTAGAGCCGTAGTAGTATATCTAAGAGTAACTGGGTCAGGTAAAGAATATGTCCTTTTGTAATTTTTTTGCACTCCGACTCACCACCATCATCAACGTTGATGTGTTCATCGTTAGGCGTGCGCTTGAAACTTAGAATTATATCAGAAAATACCGGTAATGTGTTCAGCACACAACGCTCTACGCCATGAGCCGAAAGAAGAGGCCCATGAAGAACCGGGTCGGAGGTCAGAAACGTATTCCAGAATGGAATCACAACCTCAAGATAATCCAGTATACTGAACGTAAATAAGGTTGAAGGTGATTTCAACGAAGCCATATTGCTGAGCTCCTTAGTGCTTCGGAGTCGGGTTACAGCTGCAACTCCTTTTCCAAGTGTCAATTGCCAGCGCTGCAGCAGCACCTTCACTAATCGAGGGGGAAGTATATGAGTCATTTTTGCATCGCTGCTCATTTGATAGCTAGCAGAATGAAATTTAGACAGCGATGATGTCAAAGAATTTTCCAAGGTTTCACTTGTCAGCTGACCTGAGTGGTAAGGATACAACGCACGATAATGTTCATGTAAAATCGCCTCACATTCGCTATTAAAGGTGCAATTAGCGTTACTATCAGAATCTTCAAGTCCTTTTGCTGATGTGGGTTTCTTCAAACCTCGAGGCAAATCCATAAGTGAAGAATCCTTAGCCGCAAGTAAGCGACCCAGACGAGTTGTAGATAAAAATAATTCCATTTCTTCCCGCTCCTTGGCATCATCATCCCGATCTGCATGGCCTTCAGCATCACCCGTTGCATTGTCGAGTGCATCAGATTTTATGCTGACGATCTTGGATAGCAGTCGATAAATCATTGTATGCAATGTTATAGAAATAAAGTTATCACCTTTAGTACGTTTTATTTACTTTTAAAATGCCTCCAGGCCTTCAATACCCAGAAATGCGTATCGGCCCTATAACGTATTGCTGCCCTAGATTTAGTTCCGCTGCTTCTAACAAGAATGGGAAAAAGTCTTTGATACGCAGCCTATATAAAAAAGATAAAAGGATGCATTACAATAAAGACATAAATAGCACACATAAAAGTATCAGACCCCAAAATAGTATACTGAACTTCTCCCTCTTAAGAGTAGGTCACTTGCTAGGCCAAATGATTAGCAATTTAACCATATTGATTCAACACTTTATAATGCACTCATTCCGTTCTACCTATGGGGCTGATGGCGGCGGTAGCTCGGCCACCTCCTCCCTGAGCTCCCTTACCCCTTCTTCCAAGCCTTCTAAAAGTCTCTCATAGAGGATCAAATCCCCTGAAATAAACCAACTCAATAGCTGTTTAGCCCTCGTGACAGCCTGTTCCATATTCTCTAGTGCCTTTTCTCGTGCAGCAGCAGACATTCGTGTGGCGCCGGTCAGCGGCTGAGCTACCGTTTTCTGAAGAGCCCGAGAGACTTGAGTCGCACAGGTGTGCACTTCAGCGTCTACCTTTGTCTTGGACTCCCGCGACGACTGAGTGATCTCAAGTTTACGCTCCGTGGCCAGCTTCGCGAAATCCAGCGACTTATCCACAACCGCGATTTTGGCGTCAATCTGGGCTAGTTCCTGACGGAGATAAAGAAGATGGGCAAGCTGGCATAGCGATGCTTTCACCTCACCCCAATCCCTGAGGGACGGCAAGCTCTCATCCGCAGGGGCACTCACGCAATAGTTGTGCACTGGCTTTCCGACTCCTTGAACAAGCTTCAAACACCTGTCAATAATTTCCTCGGCAAAGACTGAAAACACAGAAAACTCGATTGCAGGATAAAGAAGATTGAGAAGGCCTAAGGATTGTAACATGCCGGGTAAATAAAACATCTCTTTAGAGAGAGACTCAGGAGATGGTTCAGTCACGCCTGGAGTGACTTTTTCTTCTTCCCCGGCCAATGCATAGCGCTTTGCCAACTCCTTGGTAGGTGGGTCGCACGCGATTTCCTTGCGTAGGCAGTCTCCTGCGCGGAAAACGATGCGTTCCTGGGTATCTTGGACCATACTTACCCACAACTCAGATAATTCTCGAAGCTGCGGATTCTCCATGCTCTGATGTGTGAGAATTTTTTGAATATACTCCACTGTATAACAGAGCTCCGTAATGCTGTCCACCCGAAGCAGTCGGGAGCGAAACTGACGGTACAGTCCATCAACCATCTCAGACACCATTTTCGGAAACAGCCAGGCTATAAAATCATCCCGCATCCACAATGACTCTAGCACGTCGCGCTCAAGTGGTATAATTACTTGCAACAGAACGCAAATGTAACTAACAAGCCGTGGTAGCGAATAAACGGAAACATTCTGCGCTAGAGTATGCCGTCCATCGACCATCTTGGAGTTAAATTTTGTAATGTCATGAGGCACCGCCGTCGAAAGAGAAACAGAATTTTCAGGCTGTGTCTCGAAAAAGGTGAGTCGCTGTAGAGTTTCTTCCAGTAAGGATGACGCGTCCGTTGTGTCCACATGGCAGCAAAGCTTCAGACACTGTTGTAAAAGAGGGCTCACAAGTTCGATTCGTGACTCTTGATATGCCTTTAGAATCTCCTGCAGCTGAAAATTAGTTTCGACACGCTGGAGTGTCTCGCCGCCAAACGTTTGGTCTCCAGCGTAACAAAAGCCTTTCTGCGTTTCGATCATGCGTCTAAGCAAGGCATTCTCATTAAGGCTATCTAAGTACAGTTGGTTTATGGATCTCAGACCAGTTTCAAGTGCATTCACGATTCCCTGTGGAGTGATTGAAACATTGCTAGACAAAAGCGCTGAAGGTTTGGGGACTGACAATGTGGACGACATAGATCGCTGACCTTCCAAAGTCTTCTCTGCATGAAGGCTGTCTATACCATCAGCCCCGTCCTTCAAGGTCATGTCTTCAGCCTCAGCGGAAATATTTAATATTTTGGATGTCATGCTGCTGGAAAGTGGGGGAGGGTGCGCGCCGACGTCGATCGGTAAGCTGATGCCGATAACAAGCCCTTTGTACACGTCTGATTTCAAAGCACACTGTAGCGCAGCTGCAAAAGAATTCTCTAGCACAACTTTAAGGCAATTCAAAACCCTCTGTTGGGCTTCCGTCAGCTTTGCCGCGTATGACAATGCGGACTTGAAGGAGCGATGCTCATACAGAAACTGTATCTCACTCTGAAGGTCCTGAAACAAAGTAAAAAAGCGAGGCGACGTCGCACTGAGCGTTTCCTCCTTAGCCTCAAAGTTCAGATTATCGATGTTGGAAAAGTGGCGGAGATTTTCCTGCAGTTCCGCTTGGACACGCTCGAGTTTAGCACACCCCGCGAGCAACACAGAAGCGTTATGACTAAGGAAGTCACTCTGATTTTGAATCAATTTTGTCACATCGCGCATGGAGTTGATGATGTCAAGGACATATTGAAGCACCTGGCGGCTGTGTTCACTACGTGTAAGGTTTTCTTCAACACAGATCTGCCATTCTTTAAGCCCCACCACCCGCTTAGCGCACGCCCTAAAGGCCTTATCGCAGAGAATCTGTTCAGTAGCTGGCTCTTGAACAATATTATGGGCATCCGTTGAATTGGTTGATTCCCTTACAAGTGTAACAGGGGGAAATGAAGTCTGTTTGCCGTCTGTTACTGAAAGGCCTTCATCTTGGAGGCGACGGAAGTCGTCTACAAGGTGATCTGGGATGGGAATAACGCTGCTGAATTCCTTAGCAAGATGTGCTAGAAGTAAATCCAGTTGCGTAGTGTCGGAGTCGGTTGTTGGCATGTAGGAATCCATAAATTAGCGTATTCAAATTAGAGCTCGATAAATAGCGAATGGCAAGTGAAAAAATGAGAATAATCTGTATTTAGTATTGGGCTATGCGTTTGTTCGTAAACTCTGGGGTATATCAAATAACTATACATTACATATATATATATATATATATATATATATATATATATCGA